TGTGCGCGTTTGCGTGCACGTTTCCTCATTCATAGCAATGCATTTTGATCTGCTTAAGAAAACATACATCTTTGCCTTTGCGCATCTAGTGCGCGTAAAAATGTGCAAACCGCACACAAACGCACATACCATGCGAGGGAAAAACGTGCATAAAAATGCATGGTAACGCTGACGCCCAGGTGTGAATGGAGAATTATATAAGGTGCCAAAGCTGTGTCAGCATGGCGGAAGGTGAGAGGGGCAAAGCAGGCCTGGCTGGAGAAAAACTTTTTGGAATGGATCCCACCCTGCCTGGATTAGCGTCACCCGTTTCTATGGTGCTGGAGAAGATGTTAAGGCACCCTGGTTGAGAAAGGCTGGTATACATATACAGTTATTTATTTACATATAATATTTTGCTTTGAAAAATAACAGTAAACTGTTTATAGTTTAAAAAAAAATTACCTGAACCTATCTGAACAGAGTAAAAATGATAAACAGACATACCATTCCATCATTTATATTTTGTGACAATAATTATACATCAATATTGACAGTTCTCTGGCATCAATGACATCGGTACAAAGCCAGGGCAGACATACTGAAGGAGAAAGCATGAGAGGCCAGGCCTGTGTCAGCAGCTCCAAGACAACCTAAGCACAACAAAGCAGCAAATGTCTGATCAGCCTCCTATACACAGACACTCACATGCAGGCACATCATTCAGCAGCAATGCAGAGCTCAGTCTCCTGCTATGTCCACAACATCTTATTGTGCATTGTGATGATTCTATGGAGACATGACATCTTACCTCTCCTCCTCACCCCCCTGGGAGACTAAACGATCAGACTGCTTGTCAGGGACACAGTGCAGCTCAGTATGAGCAGTGTGATGTCAATCAGGATTGCAGAGCAGATCAAGCACCCTGTATCCCCTGTGTTACCCACCACTCCCATAACAGGGCTGATCCAAACCTGGGGATGTGCCATGGCAAGTGATCGCCACCTACTGTATGGAAGACCTTACCATTTAACCATGTCACTGCTGAATATCCATTTATTGCCAAAAGGCTTCCTTGGTTATCTACACATCTAATGGCAGAACCTTGTTTGTACTTGTGAAAGTATCACATACATAGTTCTCGTTTTTTCTTATCCCTGAAGAATATAAAGCATTGCATCAAGAGGCTGACTGTCCAGGCAGGGATATAGGTCAAGTAATGTGTACAATAAAAGATGTGATAGGGAGGGAGAGTTTACTTCCTTGGGGCTGGAAGTCAGAGTTGGGTATCTGCTATACTGTATATATTTTATATATATATATATTGTGCACAATAAAAGAGACCCATAAACAAGGCGGGTGTAAAAAAGAAAAGATCTTCATGTAAGATGGCATCAAATTAACCAGCAACCAGGTTGGAAAATATTGTATATGAAACTAGCAAAAGGGTACCAGTTTTAGAATGGACAAAAATGGGGATATTACAAACAATGCTAAAGAAGTGTCTTATCAGGTAGTAAATGCAGGAAAGGGTTGTGGAGGATATCACTGGGCTGGAGAGGAGTGCAGAGGGTACGAAGGCAGGCACTATGTGCTGGTGAGGATTGCACAGGGTATGTGCTGATGAGGTGTGCAGAGGGTATGACGGTGGGAATTATGTGCTGGAGTGGTGTGACGGTGGGAATTATGTGCTGGAGTGGAGTGCAGAAGGCAGTGGCGACTCTAGGAACAATATGTAGGGGGGGCACATAAGATACAACAGTCAAATCTGGGGGGGCACTAATAATTTTCATTGCATGTCGCAACCGCTGGGCACCGATGAGCTGATTTAATTGCGGATGGCATCAGCACCCCGCGTTTGCGACATTTAGTCCAACGCCGCCCACAATCCCGCATACCGCCGGGCGCCGATGCCATTCGCAATTTAATCTGTTCTCGACGTCCGGCAGTTGTGGAATACAGCATGGACTGACTGGCAACTTTTAGCCCAGGGGGCAAGTACAACCCAGAGGCCCATGATAACTTAGCCCACCCTCCAGCTCTGCCTCTTCCCCCGCCTTCCCCCCGTCCCTGGCTGCCACTTTTGGCATCCATGTAACACTAGTGTGAATGGTCCAGTGATGTGAGGACTAGTGATGGGCTCGGGCGTGTATTCGCAACTCCACGTGCCGAGCCCACCAGGAAGCTGACAGCACCAATCACAGGTACTGAGACATTATCCCAGTCCGCAGCTGCAGAGATCGGGATATGTCTCAGTGCCTGTGATTGGCGCTGTCAGCTTCCTGGCGGGCTCGGCACATGGAGCTGCGAACAAACCCGAGCCCATCACTACTGGTAAAGCATAACACAGGGGGGCAATTGCCCCCCCTTGCCCCCCTGTAGTGACGCCTATGGCAGAGGGTATGACGGTGGGAATTATGTGCTGGAGTGGAGTGCAGAGGGTATGACGGTGGGAATTATGTGCTGGACTGCAGAGAGCATGAGGGTGGGCACTATGAGCTGGAAAGGAGTGCAGAGGGTATGATGGTGGGTAACTTGTGCAGGAGGGGAGTGTGGAGGTTATAAGAAAAGGTTATATTTGCAGGAGAGGGGTGCAAAAGGTATGACAATGGCAGTATCTGCAGTGCAGAGGGTATGACATCACGAAATATGTGCAGAAGAATAGTGATGAGCCGAACGCCCCCGTGTTCCGTTCGAATTTGAACTTTCGAACATGGGGAAAGTTCGTATTCGAACTTGAACTCAATGCAAGTCTATGGGGTAGAACATTGACAATCAAATGTCCCCATTTTGAAGCCTTATATGCAATTTAATGGCCATAAAAAGTGTATGGGGATCCAGTTACTGCCCTGGGGGACATGAATCAATGAAAAAAAAACTTTTTCAAAATACAGTTTTTAAAGGAGCAGTGATTATAACATTGCTTAAAGGGTAACAATAAAAATGAAAATTTCCTTTAAATATTATGCCTGGGGGGTCCCCTTAACCTGCTTGTAAAGTGGCAAATCTGTACAACGTATAGAACCTGCTGCAGCAAAAATGAGATTTCTGAAGAAAAAAATGCGCAGTTCCCCCTCCCAAACAATACCAGACCTTTTAGGTCTGGTAGAAATGTTAGGAGGGACCCCATTTAAAAAAAAATAGCGTGGGGTTCCCCTCCAAAATCAGACCAGACCCTTAAGGTCTGTTAGGAATATTTAGGAGGGACCCCGTGTAAAAAAAAAAAAAGTGTGTGGGGTTCCCCCTTAAAGTCATATCAGATCCTTAAGGTCTGGTAGGAATTTTAAGGAGGAACCCCACCCCCAAAAATGCAAGGGGCCAGTCATGAATGATGTCCTGTCTATGACAAGCTGCAGAGAGACCAGTGAAAGGGTAATACGCTGTATGCATAGTCCATGGGTAAGGAAAGCTTGTGGAATTGGTAGACATGTGCAATTTGTTTCATTCCTATTTGCAATTCAGACAAATATCAGAAAATTCAGACATTCGGATGTATCTGAATTTCCAAATGGAAGAAATAACAAATCTGAACGTATCTGAATCTTCCAATAACGAAATTCGGATGCATCCAACATTTTTTACGAATGTTATTCGGAATGAACGTATGTTGTTAAACGTTGAAATATATTTTAAAAATAGCGTGGAGTCCCCCTTCCCAATTCATTCCAGACCCTTTAAGCCTGGTAAGAATTTTAGGGGGGACCCCAATGTCAAATAGCACAAAAAAGCATGTCCCCCCCCCCCCTAAAATCCCTTACCAGACCCTTGATCCAAGCAGAGCCTAGCAGAGCAGGAAAGGGGGCAGACAAGTTGCGGCCCCCCTTCCCTGCACCATACCAGGGTGCTTTTCTAGGGGGGGCCCCTGGCAAACTACCTTGTCCCCATGTCAATGAGGGCAAGGACCTCTTCCCCACAACCCTGACCCGATGGTTGTGGAAGTTTGCAGGCAGGGGGGCTTATAGCAATCTGGGTGCATCCAGATGTCGTCCACCCCCCTTTGTGGATGAATAAGGAGTAGTTGTTACCCCTACTCATTCACCAAATAAACAGTAAAATAGGAAATAAACACACCACACCGTAAAAAAAATGCTTTATTTGAAAAAAGAACACAACACAGTTTTTGACAAGTCTTTTAATAAGCCCCCCTCCCCCCCAAAAAGCCAATCGATGTATTCCACATGTCACCACGTCGTCCAGTGAAGTAGATTCAGGTCAAAATACGATGCCCGACAATTCAGAGGGGCTGACACCAAAATGAATGTCAGTCATTTTGATGTCACCTGAGTGCGGGCCGCACCCCCCCTAGTGATGCCACTGCTTGGGATTACATCAATGGACATTTTTTTCTAATAAAAAATTTGCCAAAAACTTTTTTTTTTAATAAAGGTCTGGATGGGAAGGGGGTTTAACACCGCGGATGTCAACTGGTTAATGGTGTGGTGTGCTTATTTACAATTTTACAGTTTATTTGGTGAATGAGTAGGGGTAACAACCACTCCTTACTCATTCACGAGGCGGGGGCGGCATTTGGGTGCCCCCTTTATGAAGATTTAGTTCGGATTCCCTTTGAATTCAGTCTTCTCAAGCATCTTGTCTCTCAAATTATAAAGCCTGCACTCCCTGTCATAAAATGTGGAATGCAGCATGTTGTAACTTCGCCCGAAGCTCTGAAAGGTAATAACAGCTGGTGTTTACCTCTAGAAGTCTACAATAATTGACACATTTGCCTTCTAATCTTTAACATTTTATTGATGAATCCCGTTTCTGAAACAATCCATTGACAACAAAGAGACGCTTTCCCCTCATACACAAAGGAGGATGAAGAAACAGCCAATCAGATGACGTTTAGCAAAAGCAGCCCTGTGGGCGGGGCCAGACGTCTGCCACTCAGTGAATGTCTGGCTTCTGTGCCTGGGAGCCAATTGTCCGAAGTGCTGCCATGCTGATGTCGGACCTGCTAACAGGCAGGAATGTCCTCCAACGTACATGAGCCTTCCAGCCATTTGTCCAGCAAACTGAGCTCTGTCCCTCCCATATCCTCTGCAGACTCGCAGGCATCTGGAGCGCAGACACTGCTTCCTACTTTATGGGCACTCGCATGACGATCGCTCAGATTGTGCACTAGATTCGTATACAGCCAATGGTCCTGCTGCCTTTTGGTGAATCTTGTCCACGATCGGGCTGCCTTTTGGTGAATTTTGTCAATGATCTGGCAGCTTTTATTACTGACAGCTACAGCAGCCCCCGTGTGCTGCACTGACAGCCCCCCCAGAGTGAGTAGAAGGCTGAGCAGGGTATGGGGTCCTGGGCTCCGTGGGGAGCTGGTGCTTCCTGCTCGCTACTTTTACATCCAGGCTGTGGACACACAAGGGGACAAGTAAGTTTACTATTCTGCAACTGTTGCTGCATTACTTCATGCTGGGCTTATCAAAGCTCAACTCTGGGAGGATCAACTTCCATTTAAAAGAGAAGTAAAAACAAACCTTTTATTGGATTTACTTCTCATTTGGGTCGCAGGAGAACATTTATTAATGTACTCCCAAAGAGCCGCACCGCAGCCGGTAAGGATGCCGACAATAGTGTTGGGATCCATCCGGCTGCCTGATTGACAGCTGGATTTGCCTCTCTAGAGCCAAAACCAGCTGTGCCCTCCCCTTCCCCTATCTGTCCCTCCAATGAGTACTGGAGGAATAAAGTGAGGGGAGGTACACAGACTGACAGTCACTGCTTACCGCAGGGAGAAGACACCAAAAGCTGAGCAACCTGTGGTTTCATCAAGATTGGGCAACTCTGGCCCTCCAGCTGTTGTGGAACTACAAGTCCCATGAGGCATTGCAAAGCTGACAGTTACAGGCATGACTCCCAGAGACAGGGGCATGTTGGGATTTGTAGTTAAAGCATAGCTGGTCGGCTGGAGTTGGCCACCCCATGGTTACATGATAGCTCAGCTCTCTATCTTAGGCCTCATTCACACTTGCCACTTGCAGGCTGGATTTATTGTTTATGCTTTTAGATGCTTAACATGACACATGTTCAATGTGTAAATGGATCCATTGGAAATCATTAGAAACATTCATATGCGTTTAGAAAACCATTAAAAACTCATGTATATCGCACTATATTGTGAATGGGACCATAGACTGTTGCAGTGTCCCACCCCGGCTCTAAGCTGCAGGGAAAGTATATTTTTCTCTTCCCGCACTTTTCCTTTAGGCATGTTTAAATATATTGCTCAGTAGCCACAAAGGATATTAATCGAATGTGTGTGCGTCAAATATTATCAAACATTCTCATGTAAAAGTAGCACTGATATCAGGAGGGGGCAGAGACCAGACCTGTCACTCTGCACAATGAGAGAATGTAGAAGTGACCGGTCTTTGTTACAGGAGGTGGGACGGATAAAAGACCTGTCACCCTGCACAAGGAGAGAGAGCAGTAGTGACCAGTCTTTATTACAGGAAGTAGAGGATTGGGGCGGATACAAGACCTGTCACCCTGCACAAGGAGAGAGAGCAGTAGTGACCAGTCTTTATTACAGGAAGTAGAGGATGGGGGCGGATACAAGACCTGTCACCCTGCACAAGGAGAGAGAGCAGTAGTGACCGGTCTTTATTACAGGAAGTAGAGGATAGGGGTGGATACAAGACCAGTCACCCTGTACAAGGAGAGAGAGCAGTAGTGACCAGACTTTATTACAGGAAGTAGAGGATATGAGCGCATACAAGACCAGTCACCCTGCACAAGGAGCAAGAGAGCAGTAGTGACCAGTCTTTATTACAGGAAGTAGAGGATGGGGCGGATACAAGACCTGTCACACTGCACAAGGAGAGAGAGAGCAGTAGTGACCAGTCTTTATTACAGGGAATAGAGGATATGAGCAGATACAAGATCAGTCACCCAGCACAATGAGAGAGAGCAGTAGTGACCAGTCTTTATTACAGGAAGTAACGGAGAGGAGCAGATACAAGACCAGTCACTCAGCACAATGAGAGAGAGCAGTAGTGACCAGTCTTTATTACAGGAAGTAGAGGAGCAGATACAAGACCAGTCACCCTGCTCCAGCAGAGAGAGCAGTAGTGACCAGTCTTTATTACAGGAAGTAGAGGATGGGGGCAGATACAAGACCAGTCACCCTGCACAAGGAAAGAGAGCAGTAGTGACCGGTCTTTATTACAGGAAGCTCCTGTACAGAGGGAAGGTGTCACACTGGATTACTGCACAGATCTGGAAAAGTTACATAAAGCACACCAAGATTCAAGTAAAAATACACATGCCTCTTTTCTGTAGACATGAATTGCTTATCCCGGGAATTCAGCTTTAAAATGGATGTAAAATCAGCATTGCAAGTTTTCGCTGTTTAAAGTGTAGTATTTATACTCCTAAGTCCAGTTATTCAGATCCTCCAAAGTCTTTCCATTCCTCAGATATTGTAAGCCTGCAGTGCATGCATAGTTTCACCCACATTCTTGGCATCTGGGCTGTGCCGAGATGTAAACAGCGCCCAGGCCGGTTTCATGTCACCACAGATCTCCAGCATAGGCACTCACTTTTGTGAGTCTCGTCCTGAATGTTGGATGAGCGGCTTCTTAGTAAATCAGTAAACATATGCAAATTACTGATGACCACTTGCCGAGGATGGAAGAAGGGGAAGGGGGAAGTAACTGCAGAGACACATCAAAGATGGTACCCTGGGAAACAAAGTAAGGACTCGAGTACATGTCTTTGGAGCATTAAGCAGTCAAGAAATGGACTTCTGAAGTTTTTTTTTGTTGCATTGCAGAATCTACTTCCGCTGTAAACAAGACACAGGGAAAATGCACAAATAGAAGTGACAGAACTTTGGCAGAACTTGTTTTGTTAAAGAAATAAGAGTTACTGCTAACAAAAAATGATTTCAGTTTGGAATCTCAGTACAACTACAGGAAAGTCCCGTTATGTCATAAATGCCTGTACAATGACTCATGTCTTATGTCCAGCTCCAGCCAAAATATATATTTTGTAGTTTAGAATAGAGCGAGGAAGGGTTTGCATTTCTCTCAAGTTTTAACCTTTTGACTTCCAAGGATGTTATTAATATGTCTCAGCTACCCTTACTTAGATGGTCAATTATGTATATAATATGTCATGTCAATCAACGCATTAAAGCCACCCTGTCAGTTGGTTACAAAATGCCAAGAGCACTAACCTATGGAGAAAGCAACATCATACTTATCCTGTTGGTCAGCCCGTGTGCTCAAATCTTAGTATGTAGCAGATGCTATTCCACACTTCCTAGTGGATAGAATAGTAGTTTCCCTTGCTGACTGCCATGGTTTCTTCCACCGACCCCCACGTCACTCCTGTGTCGTGCAGTGACTAGGGGTCAGCGGGCATAGCAGCCAGCAGGTTGACCCACTATTCAACTCGCCTGAAGATTAAAAGAGAACTATGGGGTAAGTGTTTTTCCCCATAATTCTCTTAAGGGTCACGGGAAGACATATACTAGCATCCTCCCATGACCCAAAGCTCAGTATATCGCGAGCTACAGCTTGCGGTATACTGAGACCGCTGCAGCCGGACGGATCCCGACAATGCTGTCGAGATCCACCGAGCTGCGTGAGTGACAGCTGGCTCTGCCTATGTAGAGGCAGAGCCAGCTGTGCCCGCCCTTGTCCGTTCCTCCAGTCAGCGCTGTGTGTTGACATGGTACTCTCCATCAGGCTCATGTGTGTCAGAGTGACAATGCAGGGGAGCATTTGGGAGACAGGGACATTGCATTATTACCTAACAGAAATGACATGCACAAGGATTACCAGGTAGTATTTTAAAGCCTAAGGCCAAGGCTACCCTTGCTGCAAGGGTTAACTGCTCATTGTTTAGGGAATCTTTGTAAAGGACTTTTACATAGCTGATTCCCAGTGCCACAGGCTCCAAGACCAGCACCCACAGTCTCTTCCCCCTTCCGCTTTGTTGGTAAAAGTCATCACATACAATGTAGGGCCCATAGCCCTGCTTTATCTGTAAGGGCGCACCAAGGAACCTTCCACAAACCAGAGAAGAGAGAAGAGCTCTGGCCACCAGGGGAGTGGGGATCAGGTAAGTAAAACTGGTTTATACAGCCCCCCTAGAAAAATAACAAGCATTTGTTCCTTCCAGTGCTGGGATAGTCCCATTGCAAGGGTTGTTTTTGTTTTGTTTAACCAGAGATATAATTTAATAATGAAGGCTGTGGGTATGAAAATGTTGAAAAACGAAATTTGAAGGTACGTCAACACAGTACAGTGAGATTTTACTGAGCAAAGTCTCAGCCTTGTCAATTGGGAGGAAGCGGAGTGAGTTGCTTGCTCCCCATACCAGCATGAAGTACAGGGTTTTTCTCTATGCTCCTAGTGGCTGAATGGAGCAGTGTGGGAGCAAAAGAAAAGTATATGCAAAACTGGGGTGATGGTGGTGGTGGTGGGATGGCAAAAGAAATTGTTACTTTGACGTGCACATGCAAAGCACAAGATATGCTTGATGCTTACTTACTGTTTGGTTAGTGTAGCATGTATTTTTATTAATAACACTTTATTTTCTTGTTTAGTTTCACTTTGTCTCCAACAAAGGATGTTTTTCAAATCCATATAACTGCTCCTGGGCAGCAGTATAGCAGAGTGGGAGTGCAATTACTTGACCGAAAAGATGGCTCCTTCCTGGTACGGTACAGAATGTATGCCAGCTACAAAAGCCTACAAATCGAGGTTACACTCGGCAGCAAACACGTTGCAGACTCTCCTTATTTCTTAGAAGGTATATTATGTTTTTAGCTTTCCTGTGTTTATTGTAAATGTACTCAAACCAGATCCACTTCAAAGAAATGTAATGTGTTAATGGAGGGTTTACTGGCCTTACACATGAGTGTCTGATGGAAGGACTATTCCTATTGCCCACAGCATCCAGTTTGTTTCCTTTTCATGTGTCATGCAATATACAGTATGAGACAGTGAAGGGGATAAACTGGTGGGTTGCATTGTGATACAAGAACTCTCTTCCTGTAAACATTTAATGCACAAAGGTCAGGTTGGCTGGAATAAGAAATTCTTATTAAAATAATTTTTTAGTGCTGGGTTAGTGGTTAGAGGCTAATCTGCACTATTTTTCAGCCACGCTGTAGTATTTTGTCTTCCTTTTCTGTTGCTTTCTAAACGCTTGTGTAGCAGCCAAAGTATCAATCTATTCAGTGGCGGAACTATCGCCATAGTGACCCAGGCGGCCGTTATGGGGCCCGGCCAGGACGAGGAACAAAGGGGTCCCCCTGATGCCGTGTGGGCCACCTGGGTCGCTATGACATCGGAGGCTGCTGGCTGTCACTGGCGGGTGTGAGGAGGAACGCACCTGTCCAGATCACTGACAACCTGTCAGTGATCTGTGCAGTGGCGCATTCCTCCTCACAGCCACTGCTGAGTCAGTGACAGCCAGCAGCTGCAGTGGAGAAGGCCAGGGCCTGGCGGCAACGGAGGAGGAGGCGGAGCCTGGTGGAGGAGGAGAGAGAGGCCAGGCGCGGTGGAGGCGGGGCCCAGCGGTGGAGGAGGCTGATAGTGGATCGGCGCTGACTGGTAAGAGGTGTGAGGGGCCATGTGACCAGCCCACCTGAGACCCTGCAGAGCTCACCATACTGAGTCTATGGTGGGCTCTGCAGGGTCACTCTAAGGTGGGCTGTGTGGGATCTCAGATGGGCTCTGCAAGGGGCGTAACTAGAAATCACAGGGCCCCATACAAAATATTGCTATGGGGCCCTGTGATTTCTACTTACGCCCCTGAATCTAGTGTATGGACTAGATTAGAAGTTGGATTCACACTTAGCTTCAGTCTCTGTTTTTTTGCGAGGTTTTTTGTGTATCTGTATTTGCACTTTTCCTTTGTTTTTATGTTTGAGCATTTTTGCTTTAGTGGATGGAAGTCTAGTTACTAGGAGGAGGCGATGGTTGTTGGGTGCAAAATTGCATAAAAAAACAGGTGTTGCACATGTTTATCAGGTGTTTTTTGGTTGGTGCCAAAATGACGCAATCGTATCCCAGAGAAGCTTCTGTATTTTTTCTGTGCATTAAAGAAGAACTGTGGGGTTAAGTATTTTTCCCATAGTTCTCCTTAGGGTAACGGGAGGACACAAACTAGCGTCCTCCCGTCACCCTAGGCTCAATATACCGCGAGCTGGCGGTATACTGAGATGCTACAGGATACCGCGAGCTGCTGCTCGCGGTATACTGAGACACCGCAGCTGAAGCGGATCCCGACAATTGTGCCGGGATTCGCCCAGCTGTGTGACTGACAGCTGGCTCTGCCTATCTAGAGGCAGAGCCAGCTGTACCAGCCCCCTCCCCCGTCCGATCCACCAGTCAGCGCTGGCGGATCAGAGCGGGGAGGAGGGAATCCAGCCCCTCCCCTGTCACGGCAGAGAGCAGTGACAGGATCGTGAGGTGAGTGAACGCCGGTGAACAGCACTCACCTCATAGTTCTCCTTTAAGCAAAATCACATCACTTTCAATAGAACATAGTTGCCCGGCTATCGTACACTGGTTAAATGTCATCCTGCTGACTGCTGATTCCACCAGTGTGTGCCCCAGTTGGCACCCCTACTTTCACAAATGTCTATTTTTCAATTGACTTTTGTGAAAGGAGCTGATCCGAAAATGGTTGGCCAAACAGTGACTGCAGCCAATGAGATTGTATTTCTATTGCACATGATTGGGTGTTCAGTGCAAACACAGTTTCGGCATATTTGTCACTCACTTTGGAAAGTGAACATACACTTTTTAATGTGAACATTACCTTGGCTACGTGAACGGCCTCTAATGCTTTAGTAAATCTACCGCTTTCACAAGCATACAGGCTACATGCCTTTACCTTTAGAGTAGTAAAGTGTATTATACCACAAGTCTTTATATAATCACACCTTTTAAGGGGTGCCATCATTGTTAACACACTGTATCTACTTTTCTAAAGTCTGGGCTTACTAATATAATATCATGTGACTAGAGTGGCTATAAGGGGGTTATCAAGCCAGATAATCTTATAGGGGTTATATTAAAATTGACTGCTTTGATTCCATCCTGTCAATTATTTTTAATGATTGTAAGCATGACTGTCCTTATAATAAAGTCCATTATGAACTTTTTTTCTAGGTATAATATCCTTGGTATAATAAGCTGCTTTTTCATGGGTTTGGTCAAGTAAAAGTACTTCTCCAGTATGTGCGCTTGTGTTGGTTTCATTTTAGAATGACTATTACTGAGGTGAAGAGTGAAGACTTTTCTGAGGTTGCTATTGTTGTTATTCAAGCTGACAATCTGACAATCTGACATCCACATGATATGTTGTCCAAACAGATCAACAAACACTTTAGCAACTTTGTAGGCTCCATTTACACATAAGCAGTTTTCCACGCGTACAAATGCGTTAAACATAAAAAACTATGCATTCCAATGTGCATTATGCAGACTATTGCGGCGTCCATGCACTACGAAACCTCGCACCCCGCAAAATAGTCCAAGCATTATTTTATGGGTGGATTCTGCGCGTATGTTACAGTTTGCGTGTTTTCATGCTGTGCGGTTTTCCATGCGGAAGAAAACGCAAACGCTAAATGTGAATGGAGCCTTATTGTATCTGAGGAAGGCTGGCCACTAGCTGTCTTGTTAGTGTGCAACAAAAGGGAGTGCAGAGGGGACAACTGCTTCTAGGCCTCTAAAATCAGTGGACCTAACTACTACTTTCTGCTCTATTTACAAATTCACTACATTCACACATGTGCTGGTGTTGAAGGGACTGTTGTTTTTTGGATTTTTGTGAATTTTGTCTGTGTTTGAAATACTGTGTATACCAAAAGTGAGAATAGCTTAGACTAAAACTGTCAAACGTAAATGTTTTGCCTAAGAGCTGCATGGTGTCTGCAAACATCTGGCTGCCCTCTGTTCAACCTTAAAGGAGAACTATGAGGTGAGTGCTTTTCACTCACCTCATAGTTCTAGTGACCTGTGACTTATACAGTATATATATATATATATATATATATATATGTATATATAGTACTGTGCAAAAGTTTTAGGCAAATGTGAAGAAATAAGTAGTAAGAATGCTTTCAGAATTAAGAGTGTTAATAGTTTATTTTTTATCAATTAACAAAATGGAACGTAAATGAATAGAAGAGAAATCCAAATCAAAGCAATATTGGGTGTGACCAGGGGAGTATCCACCACAAGGCAAACTAGGCTTGAGCCTTGGGTGGTACTTTCCAAGGGGGCGGGAAATACCGCCACCCCAAAGAGTAAATAATAAACCTAAGTGATGTCCCTGCAGCAGCCTAACACAGTGCACACAAATACAACACATCAGATACTAGACTGGACATCACCCCCAGTGCTGTGACTACCCCGGGTCCAGAGAAGCAGCTGTCTCTCATCGCACCGTTCGGGAAAAAACACATCTGGCTGCGCCTCCATCCATCTCACTTACCCGATCTACACAGCATGCCCCTCCCGTCAGTACTATAAGCAGGGCGCTCTGGCTGTGTGCCTGTAATGGGCAGGGCTCTGGGCTGATCTCCACCCTGTGGGCTGGGCTGCTCCGACACAGGTGTGACAGGTCTCCTTTTCCTGCTATTGTAACCTCAGCTATAAGGGATAAGAGCAGTGACATTACTACTCCTTTTCCACCTGTACTGCAGTTCTCAAAGCCAGGGATGTTGCTAGACCCCGGAACCTGGACCTCACACCCCAGATCTTCTACTGGGTGCCCGGGTCTACTTTTACATATGGAGATAACACATTTTATACATAATTATTTTGTGTAATACTGTGTAATGTATCTACATTCCTATTAATCTATTTCTTTTTCTTCTAAACATTGATTTTTATTTCAGTCATGTCATCATAATGTGATATTTAAAGATTTTACACCAATTCAGTTTTGTTAAGTTAAAGTCTTATTAGTCTAAAACTAACCATACACCCTACAGTCTGATTGTACAATCTGCTTTAGATCAGATACGTAGTGTAAGGGTCTGCCTCATTTGGTATGAATGTTTTTTTTTGGGTGTTTCCTCATTTTTGTGGGTGTTTTCAAAAGTTCACCTTGCAATGGGCCTTCCCCTCGCACTGCAAAGGTTAGCTCAGAGGCATATATACCGCACGGCAAACTAGGTATTTGCCTTGGGTGGCACTTTCCATGGGCGAGGCAAAAAACTCTGCCTCTAAACCAGCAAGGCTCTAAGAGGAAAAGGTGGAGCCTATAGAGGAGTGAGTGCAGTTTACAGATGAAGGGGTGGGTCTTAAATAGGAAGGGGTGGGACAAATTTAGATTGTGGGGGTTCCCAAGTTTAGTCTTGCCTAGGGCAGCACAAAACCATAATTCACCCTCATTGCCTTCAAAACAGCAACAATTCTTCTAGGTACACTTGCACACAGTTTTGAAGGAACTCGTAGGTAGGTTGTTCCAAACATCTTGGAGAACAAACCACATATCTTCTGTGGATGTAGGCTGCCACAAATCCTTCTGTCTCTTCATTTAATCCCAGACAGACTCGATGATGTTGAGATCAGGGCTCTGTGGGTGCCAAACCATCACTTCCAGGACTCCTTGTTCTTCTTTACGCTGAAGACAGTTCTTCATGGCATTGGCTGTATGTTTGGGCTTGTTGTCCTACTGCAGAATACATTTGTGGCCAATCACACGCCTCCCTGATGGTATGGAATGATGGATTAGTATTGGCTTGTATTTCTCAGAATTGAGGACACCATTGATCCTGACCAAATTTCCAACTCCATAGGCAGAAATGCAGCCCCAGACTTGCAAGGAACCTCCACCATGCTTCACTGTTGCTGCAGACACTCATTATTGTACTGCTCTCCAGCCCTTCAGAGAACAAACTGCCTCCTGCTACAGCCAAATATTTAAACATTTGACTCATCAGTCCAGAGCACCTGCTGCCCTTTTTCTGCGGCCTTGCGGCCAAAAAGTCATACCTCCGGCTCAACTATGCATGAAAACATAGGAACTGGGGTGCAGAAAAATGGCAGCAGGTGCTCTGAACTGATGAATCAACATTTGCTATATTTGTCTGTAGCAGGAGGCAGTTTGTTCGCCAAATGGCTATTTACTACAGCTTTTATACAGACACCTTTTATTTTTATACAGTAATTGCTCAAATATGTCTTATTGACGAGCATTTTCCAAAGAATAACAGTGTAAATTTTCACCTACATCGGTTTGACCACAATGGCCTGTCTCACCAGGAGGAGTGAGTCTCTTAGTAGGATAGCTTCGATTTTTATCTGAACCAAAGAAGTAACTAATTATGGATTCTACTTTTCTTCAGGTCCAGTATATAGTGAAGAATGCTATTGCCCTGAACCAGACAGCAACCTCTGGTTAAAACTTATGGCTTGTAATGAATCCATCCCACAAATTGAACATGATCTCCGACATTTTCCCACTGTGGATACTGACAAGATTGCTGCAGAAATCCCTGAAAGGTTTGGTCATCGACAGAGTTTATGTCATTACACGATTAAAGATAACAAAGTAAGTTATGCTGCCTACAGACATTGATATACTACATGAACTTTGTCTTTGAAAATTACCTTTTTACCAAGAAATGGAACTAAATTTATGCTCAGAACAGAATCTATTTGCTTTAGCCCCGTTCACACCTGGGCGTTTTGTCGCTCAAAGATATGCGCAACAAAGTGCTCAAGGCAAGGAATCCGATTCACTTCTATGGCCCCTGTTCACACCTGAGTGTTTTGTTGCAAGCAGAAAAATGCCTGTAGATCGAAAAAGTACATGAGCAGATTACAGCGCTATTTGGTCCCATAGCGTTCAGTGGGAAACGTGTGTGAGAAAACGCCCAGGTGTGAGCAGAGGCCATAGAAATGAATGGGATTCCTTGTCTTGAGCGTTTTGTCACACTTAGCTTTGAGCGCCAAAACCCCTAGATGTGAAAGAAGCCTTAAAACGACCCGTCATTAAACAAATGTCAAACAGACATACCTGAAAATGAATGAATACTTACCTTAACTGCTGAAGAGGTGCCAGAACGCCATTCTGTTCACAAGAAATCTTCTGCTGAAGCCCACTGGTAAAACTTTGAGGTGTTGAGCTCCTTGGTGCCATACATCACTCACTGGTTCCTTCCTCTGACCTCCATATCAGTACAGTGTTCTGCAGATTTTAGGTGAAGATTCTTGTAAACCTTGCAGCGTTCTGGGGGCACGAGCAGCAGAAAATAAATATTGTCTTGTCTGAAATAACCTTTTGTTTCCTTTTTCAGGCAATCAAATTCTTCATCTCATTCTTCCAGTAATTTCTATTTGATATGCTGATAAATGAGACTGACAGTGCTCTAAACGGTACTTGACCATGAGTTAGAACCTCTGTTGGGATTTTTTGCTGCCACCTTTAGGTTGATTTTTCCCTCTCCTCCTCTATGACAGCCAACCACAAGACTTCTTCTCCCACCTGATCAGGAAGAGAAACACATAGCGAAGATTAAAAGCCCAACCTCACCCTCACCTCCTCCTGTACCTGTCAGGATGGGATGTAGGAAGGTTATTCATGTGTTTTTTTGTTTTTTAAATTCCCTGACTCTTCGTTAAGTTGCATGGTTTCCCTTTTTAACATTTTAAGGCTTACCTTACTTCAAGTGAAGATACTGGTCTAAAAAGGCTGCCCTGTTCGTCTTCACTTAGGATGATTCATAGGTTTGACTGCAGGGTCCCCTGGAGTGCATCCCTCTGCCCTCTCCCTAACCTGAGGCAAAAATGAGGCAGGTTCTAGAGCTCGCATCATCTAGTCTCTTTGTTGGTGCTTCAATCTTGTTGGACCAACCTAGCTCAGTGCTGCCGGGATGCAGGTCGTGAGATTGGGATGGCCAAATGGGGGCAACCTCCAGTGCTGCAAGGGTGTTTACCTCCAAGTCAGTTCTATAAAACAGTAAGAACTTGAGGTTAATATTCTGCAGCAGTTTTGAGGGAGAACCGCTCTGCTCCAGGTCTGAACCAACATGGATTGTGTGGAGCCAGCACTTGAGGCCCCCTATATCTACGGCAGCCAGTATCTTGCTTAATACCATAAATAGGTTCTATTCAAACACCAAGGACATGGGGATTTTAATCTTTTATGTGCGCTTCCTGGCCCAATCAGGTAGGAGGAGTCTTGGAAACAAGATTACTTGTAAGAGTAAATTCTGTTTGACACCTGCCACTGGACAGAAAATAAGGGAAATCTGGGGACACAGAAAGAAACCTGGCAGTTTCTAACCTTTCCCTATTCAAAACTATAAAAATATCTGTAGTTGGGCTTAAAGAGTGAGCTTTGATTTGGGGATCTGCTTTTCATCAATGTTTCTTTTTTTATTTTAAAATAAATTGGTTGGATCAGCAAATTCTTTATGAAAAACATGTAGTCGGCTTCATCCCGAATCCCAGGGCACTCTGTTACACAAATATATATATATACTCCTGTGGTTAAGAACTTGAGCCCATTCCATCTGGATTCCAATGCTTTGCTTTTGGTCAATGCAGCTGCCATCATAGTTGTAGGATTCCTGCCAAAAAAGCTGATGAATTACATAACAAAGTACTATAAGTTTTATGAGTTATGTACCATTTATGCAAGTACTGTACTAGGTGCCTGCTGATTATACTTTTGAATGTTTTAGATGACTACATGTGTCTTCACTTTAAGCATGAGAATGTTTTATATGTACCTTTTGTTGGGTACTTTTTGAAGGTTTTCTTGTATGAATCACATATGAATATGGCATAGTCTTTATGTTTACTACTACTGCAGACTCACTTTTGGACGGACGAGGTGGTATCTTGCCGTTGAGGAGTGAGGGCTGTATGTCGGCATGGATCGCGGGGCGGCATCTATGACTGGTCTGTGTGGATGTGAGCACCGGGCTACTCGACTTCTATTGGGTCAATGGATGTTGAGGGGTGATTAGTATGACTGGAGGGCCCGTTGGAGCGAGGTACACTGGGCGTATATTGTGACACTCTCCGTCAGGTGCAGTGAGAGCTCAGCTGGCCAGGCTGCCACTCATCGGCTGAACGGGAGCAGAAGTGCCGCTATATAGCGATCTGGCAGTGGGTCAGCAGTCGTTATGGAAGAGGTTCAGGAGCGGGCACCAGGCTGAAGGACCCTTACGGTCCGTGGGGTGGTTGGTTTGGCTACGCGTTTCGAGGCTCTGTACCTCTTTGTCAAACCAGAAATAATTCCCTGAAATGACGTGTTCTTTATTTTATTAGGTCTATATAAAGACGTACGGAGAACATGTGGGATTCAGGATATTCATGGATTCTTTTCTTCTGTCATTAACAAAGAAAGTAAGTTCTTCTGTCCATAACAAGTAAAACCATAATAAACAATGCTAAAGCTATAGCAACATTAGCAATATGTGGCTCCTGAGATACTAATTAGAGACCATTGCTCTTAAAGTATCTCGTCATAAGACAAGTATGGGGGCTGCCATTATTTTCTTCATTTTATTAAAGCCAGTTGTCTGGCTGTGCATGGCTTCATTACTTTGCAGTCGCACACGTAGAACAAGCATCCTGTAAATGAGCTTGAGAATTGCTTATTTCAGTACATGTTCCAGGTCAGTGAGTATTAAAGCAAAAACATCCGTATTAAAGCCAGGAGGGGAGAAGATGACAGCCTACATAGTTCTTTGATGACAGGATCCCTTTACAGTATATGCCTCTAGAACCCCCTCCCCCCTCGTTTTGCTTACACTTAATACATTTACTTATCTCAGATGAAGATGCAGGGAGATTTCAGCGCTGCAAACGACAATATAATCAAGGGGTAATGGCTGCAGCCAACACTCAGCCATATTGTGTATGCTGGCCGCAGAATATAATGGATTTCCGCTGATAATACTCTGGAGATAGCTTATTGTACTATATGGCTGCTACACGCATAGGGTGTCAAAATACGAGTGTCAGCAGCAGACTGTAAACATTGTCTGGCCCTGGGCAGGCTAACGAGCTGACTCCTTGTGCCTGCATCTGAGGTGTAGAGTTATGTCTACATTTTTAATGAGCATGAGCAAACCTATAAAGGGCAGAAATTCGGAAGTGGTACTTGCTGTAAATCGCAGGCACCTCCAGGAATCTGCATATCTGCTCACCTTCTCAGTAGATTGTCCCAGTACTTTAAAAACCAAGCTTCCTGGCTGTTGATCCCATCTTTATCCACCTCATGTGCATTACTATTGACTTATCACTATAATGAGTGGTTCTACTTACTAACAGAAATGAATATAGGTGGAAGGGGCAGGGCCAATACAAGCAACTGAGCTGCTTGATGTTTAACTGCATAACTAAGTGGCTTAGGCTTTTGGGGGTCGCGTGTTTAAAACAGCAACAGAACCTTCCCATTACTTCAGAAATTCCCTCTAATTTTGGGTGTAGTGGGCAATCCAGACTGTATGCACTCAAACACTGGAAAAGGTATACACTGTGTAGTTTGAGAATAAACAGTAGGTTGGAGGTTTATTATTTAAGGAAGTTTATTGTAGTCAACATCCTTGAAGTTTGCTATTATTCTGGCCTCCCAAAAAAGTTGTGCTTTCACAACCCCAGTTGAAAGGGTACAGTTGAAAGGATATAATAAAATAGGGTGTTTGCATAAATTATTTATGGAAGTGTGTTTGGGGCTTGGCACACTTCATTCAAGTCATTTTATTGTATTGTTGTAAGTCTGCAAAGTTAGTCCTCCCAGATAAATAAATAATGTAGTATAGAAAGGACATTGGGTAACTGACAACTAAAAATGCTGCCTTAATATTCTTATTTCAGGAAATGTATAGCCAGGCATAGCATTTTGAGAATAAAACTGTGGTCAGGTCAAAGAGTTATGTCTGCTGCTGTTATATTTTCAGCTTTTTCTGGATCTTTTCCTATAATCCAAATATTTCATTACATTTCCCTCAAGTGTCAAGTGGCCATTGAACTCTAGTTAGCTTAAAAGGGAATACATGTAACCTTCTAAGTGTTGTTTTCTATATCCTTATAAATAATTCACACACAGAACATGAAGTATAAAATAGTTTTATTGATAGGTCAGAAAAATGGTGTGCACACTGCAGGGCCAAGTTACAAAGATCAGAAAATCCTTTTTATTACAATTAGCTCTACCAGTAAATTACTACATATCAATGGTTGTTATTAGAGCTATGAACAAATCACTAAAATTGTATGTAGATTAATTATATAGTTCCTTTTTATAGTACATACCCTGTTTCCTCGGAAATAAGACCCAGCACTATTTTTGTGAATTGCTAAAATATAAGACCTACCCCGAAAATAAGACCTAGTTGTGACCATTCCCAGGGCCAGTGGTGGCATAAGGGGGAACTTGAAGAGCCGTGGGAGGGACGGGAGAGAGTCACCGTGCCAACGAAGCCAGCGCTAGAGGAAGCGAGGCGGCAGTGGAGGGAGCAGAGCCGCACAAGCCGATGCCTCCTCTATAGCGCCAGCTCCTGTCACCGGCGGAGTGATACCAAATGCACTCCCCCTGTGATGAATCGATTGAGTGAAGCACGCTTTCCCTTTCTGGTTACCAAATTGCTCTTGGAAAGGTACGGCACCCCTGATTGCCCTGATCACCATATTCTTAACTTTGCCATTTAGGATGATTTATGAGGTAGATGTGGACCACTACTCACAGACATTCACATACAGTACTGTCAGATATTTTAAACTATACTTTAAAGACGACCTTTGGGCATAATTATTCTTAAAGGGTTATTAAACCCTCCAGTGTTTTGGCATATATGTACTGCTAGCAAGCAGAAAATATATGCAAAAATTATTTTATTTTTTTAAACGCTTTAAAAGTGGTTTAAACTTACCCCTGTCTTCGCTGCGCGCTCCCGTCCGGAAATCCGAAACTGCTCGGGCGGCCGCAAAGTATCTTGGGGCGGGCGCATGCGCAGTTCACATTTTCGGCGGGGAGACAAGGAGAGACACAAGGTAAGTATATGGACGGCATGCACCCGCATGCAGACACCGTGGGACAGGAAGTGCCAGCTAGGAGTCCGTGCTGGATCGGAGACCCACAGCAGTGCTGGAGGGACAGATGAAAAGGACAGAAAAGAGGAAGATCGGATTAAGAAACATCATTTAAAAGGTAAGTGCTTTAATTAACATTGGGGGAGGGAAAATATCTGACTTTAATGTCACTTTAAAGATATTCTACAGTAAGTTTCAAAAAGCAAGGAGCTACAAGCAAAAACCTGAGCATCAAAATGGTTAGGATACAACAAATGATCCGGTAAAAACAACAGCTAGTCTTCCACATGGAGGATAGAAGTGAGTCTTGATACAGAGTCCTGAACAGAAGAGACCAAGGATTTGTGTCAAGCTCTGCCACTTGAATGAGAAAAAAAAAAGCTGTGCATGTCCAGAATATACATCTATGATCAACTGCTGTAGAAGTAGAGTAAGAATGTGGTAGATATAAATCTTCTACAGTGGGAAGGTTGCACACTCTCAGCATTGGAGGGATCAGGAATAACCTGCTCAATGATAGAGCCAAAAAGGTGTCTACCCTTGAAGTAAAAGTTAATTAAATGCTCCCTAAGGGCATGATCAGCTTCCCAGATAGGGAGCTAAAGTGCTTTACAAATGTGAACATTAGGCGCATGCCAGAAGCACGCCGAGTTGCTTGGTCTGGAAAGTGCCACAATGCAGAGATCAGTGCCCACAGATGATTTACCTAAGTTTATCTTTGACACAATCATAGGCTCACTGACAGTGAATCTTCAGAGACTTGGTAACACCAGAGGCTGTCCTATGCCTCTGGACCTTGAGGGTGCGGCTAATTAACAGAACACTATGGTCTGGAATGGGCCACAACCCAGATTAGCCTAGCGATCTTCGGTCCAGGTACAGCTTTTTAAAGCTAGTGCTGAGAATAGGGTATTCCCGACAGCTGTTATGAAGAGACCGGCTCAAGCAGCGTATTTGAGGTCCCGAATGAAATTACTAAACATAACATCCACAGTGTAACTAATATCTTGTTTGAAGAGAAAAAAACCCAAAACTAATTGTAGAAAAAATAAATAAATTGGGATTTTGCACAGCTGAGGGAAACAAACACCTAATCAATAACAAAAAAACATAGAGAAGGGGTTTTTACAGGGCTGGTTTAACATTTTGTTTTGGCAGTGTCCATAAGTTCCTTAGGTAGCAGCATAACCCACATCTCAGACTATTCTACAATCCTGTGTCCCTTAATGGCCAATAAAAAAAAACACCACAATTCTACAGCCACCTGGCATTCTGATTGGGCAAAGCTTTTTCACTCTCATGCTTGCTTATAGCCTCTCTAATGCCAAATAATATTGTAAGCCAGTGTAGCAGCACATTATAGTAGTGGACCAATAGGACTAGCTGGGGCAGGGCTTAGTTGCAGACTAACATTAGCTAACATTCTTACTGACCTCTGTAAGCTGTTTCTGTAATTCACCGATTTTCTTTTCATATATCTTCTTTCTGTCAGACACAATTGCCATCAGATTGAAACGTATCTCACCTTCAGAATATCTGAAAGGGGTAACATTTGTTTTAAATCACCACAAAAGGCAAAACCTGGACAAAAAGAAATGTGTTAAATGCAGTCACAGGACTTTGTAAGAACTGCAACATGTCCTGGTATTAACAACTGCCATTCGGAATCACTGCAAGAGGAGTTTTAAAAACAACCAAACTTTCAGGGCCCTCCCTTCTTCAGTATTTAATAGTACCTTGCTTACAGCTTAAGGATTCCTTGATTCTAAAGGTCTCGCTTTACTGTAAAGGGTCTTTTACAGCAGTTTAGGCATGTACTGATACCTAGCAATGCCTGAGTGTATTGCCCCAGCCAGTTTTGCACCTTTATTGTACCGACTGGTTTACTTTAAAGTTAACTTATGGACTTGACCTAATCCATAAAGATTGCTCTCTCTCTGATCTTTCATATGTGCTAGAATAATTTTGATTTTACTTTATTTTAAAAGGCATGACTTTCGTAACTTCTGAGTTAAAGTGTATTTCCACTTTCGGAGCCAAAAAAGGGATAACACCTATATAATATTTGTTACATTTAAACCATTACATAGCATAAGCAAAAAAAAAAATGCTTCTAGCAGTTTAAAGTCCATTGTGACCTTTGTACGGGATTAGCATGTATTGTGGCAATGTGGAGGTGCAGTGATGATGTATATGTATGTACATTTTTATGACTCGCATTGCAGACTCTACATTTTGTTGTATGAACTTTTTATTATGCCTGAATCCTACAAATTCAAAATATTCTCCACAGGAAACTCAGTCTGACACTGGGATCGGATTGTAAAGCAGGCTGTAAACAGCTGCCCCCTCCCTGTAAATCTGTGTAACAGCTTTGCCTTTGCACACAATACACTGTCGGTTGGAGCGGTGGTGCCACTATGAATACTAATGAATGGGGGATGGAGAGCTCAGTTGTAATATATACAGATTGCTTGCAAAACACAGATGCAACCATTTTCATGAGGATATGAAGAGGAAAGCTAACCAAAAAAAATAGGATTTTTGTACTCACCGTAAAATCCTTTACTCACCGTTCATTGAAGGACACAGGCAACAGATCGTAGATCCTGAATGGTAGGGACGTCACCAAGCAGTAACACACTGAGGGATGGGCAACAACAAACAAAACACCCAAAAGACCCCTCAAAGCACCGCCTGCAACACTTTGCGCCCCAAACCAGCATCCGCCGATGCTAACACGTCCACCTTGTAGAACTTAACAAGGTGTGAACAGAAGACCAAGAGTGGCCTTACAAACCTGAGAAACAGAGGCCCCGTGGCGGAAAGCCCAGGAAGCCCCAACAGCCCTAGTAGAATGGGCAGTGACAGGAAATGGAGGCTCACGCCCCTTAACGGCGTACGTCTGAGTCACAACAGTACGCATCCACCTAGAGATGGTAGCCGCCGACGCGGCCCGAACCTTACGAGGACCCTCCGTGAGCACGAACAGGGAGTCGGTCCCGCGGAAAGAAGCCGTAGCTTCCAAATAAACACGAAGAGCGCGAACCACATCCAAACAG